TGTTGTATGCGAGACGTTGTGTGTGGGATGTTGTGTGAGTGATGTTGTGTGCGGGATGTTGTGTGAGAGATGTTGTAGAGAGGATTGTAGTAGAGAGGAGGAAGGAGGAAGGCGGAGGAGGAGGAGCGAGGAGGTGCAGCAAAAAAAAGAACCCCACACAACAATGTGGGGAAAAAGATCCTTTTCTTCGTCTCCTTGTCATTCCTTCTCTTTAAGGTCACCTCCAGTAAAGACAGAGACGATGACACTAAAGAGAAAGAATGGACACATAATTACAAGGAGATAAAGATAAAGAGATGAATGAAAGTTACGCAAGGCCGGCGTGGCAGGACAACATACAGAGAGTTCGGGGCCCGAGAATGAGCGAGCATTAGAAGACAGAGGGGGGCCCAGAGACGAGAGAGAGAGAGAGAGAGGGAGAGAGAGAGAGGAAAGAAAAAACTATTAAAAGAAAACAAATTGAGTATGACAGGAAATATAAAGACAAGCAACGAACAACGTATAGAGATGGTCAGCCGTCGGTCCCGAGCGCCTGAGGGGATCGAGTGAGTGCTTGAGAGGGGCTGGGGCCGAAGCAGTTGAGAGGTCGAGCCCCCGAGGAGTTGACGCAGCATTTGCTCCGGGAATAGGCAGTCTGGCTCTAGAAGTCGAGCAGGAGGAATCCAGCTCATGTGATGCGCCTGCAACGAGGCAGCCATTGCCAAGAAAGAAGAGGGCACAAGACACTGAGCACGAGAAAGACAAGAGGCCCCAGATTGCAATGGACACAGTTTCTAGAAGAGAGAAAAGAAGATGACAGATTTGCGTCGCGGGAACAGAGACACCCAGACATCTCCGAGCGCCCATATTCCATATAGACCACACAGTGCCTCGCTCGAGTTCCACCCAAAGCAAAGCAGGCTCCGCCGGGCTCCGCCACGGCCTTCTCTCGCTGCCACCACGCTGTACCTCCAACACCAAAAGCAACACCAGCAACCATGCCACCACCAAAGCAACCACTCATCTACATCAGAGACGAGAGTCTTCAGGTCCAGCGCAGCTCCAGCCCCATGGTGTTCCGAAGCCACCAACGCCGCAAGGACAAGAGTCCACAACTCAGGCTTCCGTCGCTGGACAGCCATTAACCAGCGCACAGGCGCCGGTACCAGACCGTCCACCACTCAGACCACATATTTTTCCGGAGTGGATTGGCAGTTCACCGACCCATATGATGAGAACTAGTGGCCTGAGAATGTTGAGTTGTGTGAATGGATGGAGAAGGTTTGTTTGGACTATACACCAACAGATTGAGATTGGGTTTTGGTATGCTGTGGACGCTCTGTTGTCTATGCTACCAGAACTGGTTAGCCTTTGATTGTTCATAGCGGTATGGAGTGTTGAGATTGAGTCCCGCAAGTGAGATGATTGTTTCACTGTAGTTGAGCACCCCTCCTTGCAGAAACGATTTCAATACGTCTCACATAGGTTCAACATGTCACAATGTGTAACAACATGCCGGCAGGGTAATCAGTGTCATGTCCGGGTAATTCAGTCTCCACTATGGTTGCTACGTTCTTTTTGTACAAACGCATGCGTGAGATGGAACGATGGAGTTGAAAATAAGTTCCTGTCTGTGTCGCTCGAATTGAAACTAAGTTTGAACAATAGTTTACAGTTAATTTCTTGTAAAGGGGGGTGTTGAAATTCCTGTCACACCCACAGGGCATGTATAGATGCTGTACTGTAGCAACGGCCCATTCAAAACAGTAGAGCCCAGTAGAGCGAAAAGGTCCAGCTTATCGGTGCACGGGGCTGGGTCACCTCCCAGCCGGTGCGCTCAATCCTCATGTTCGGGTGAAGATCAGTTTTGGCCATACGGGTCAGTCATGGGTGTCACAGCCTTGGAAACAGTTTCCAAAAGTGCCATGCAAAATATATATAGAATTTAATCAAAGTCATCTAATTTGAAGGACCTGGGACTGGCGTTGGAGGGTTGTAACAATGGAACAAACACCCACAGGCTCACGTGTCCTTTCTCCTTCCCGGGGACCAAGGATTTGATGAAAACTCTCACCGCCATGTGTGACCCGGTGGAGAGTAGAGATGTGGACCTGTCAGCCACCAGGGTGAGGTTTGGTCTGTACGAATGCATCTAAGACTTGAAACGCAACGATCAAGGACTGACAGAGCATATTCGCATGGCTAATGCTCTCAGCAGCCAACCTTCAGCCCCTGTTCCCCATTGTTTAATTTGCTTCCCTTCCACAATTCCTCTGAAAATGTTGGATTTGATTCGACATTGGTCACTCAAAGATGCCACGACATTTGTCAGCAAACTGAGATGACATAGTCTACCAAATTGACATACGGAGATTGGGGAGACTGATTTCGGCTTTGACATCATGTTGTCAACCCCTGACTTCCAATCGGAAGATGGGGCCTTCATCTTATGCCGGGTGGTGAACATACAAAAACAGTTGTTGATGCATTTGGTGTCTTAGGGGGTCACGACATGGAATCACGATGGATTTGGCTTTTCGGGGACGGGGCTGGCTCTGTATGCAGCCGTGCTCGCTGCTCGAGCCTCTGAGGTGAAGGGACAAAGATCGAGAGAGAACAACAGTTCTTGAAGGATCTGGCAATGGCATACCACATTTACTATCAGGACTGCAACAAGAGGTGAGATGTGAGAAACCAGATTGGCCAATGTTTAGTAGACTCAGGCTGAGTTCCACTTATTTGCTAAGATATCGTGATACACTGATTCCTTCATCATTCCAGCCAGAATCACAATTATAAAGATCTCAGTTTGCACTTTCTTTTGAGAGGTGCATGACCAAGCCCTCTGAAGGTTCTTGATTTTACTTTAGGGGGGTTGATGGAATGTATGCATGTTGACGGACTGCAAATTCTGTGTTGTCTCCCAAACATGTCTCCAGGTGCCTTCAGGTCATCCACTCCCAATAATTCACCCTGTCCACCCAGGCTTCAATCCGACTGTTCCCCCATGCGGTGTGAGGGCCAGCCTGTTCCGGACTTCCATGGCCTACGAGATTTCTACGCCTTGGCCAAAGCTTTGGCCAAGGCTTGGCCTAATGATTGGAATGCGAGGACTGGAGGGCGTGATTTGTTGAGATGGAAGCGTCACATGCGGAATTTCCATGAATTTCCAGGCTGCCCAATAGATTCGATGACCCCATATGAACCACTGAAGAATGTTGAGGGATGTATACATGTTGACCAATGGAACAACCCCTCTTCCGCAAGTGATGTCAGTGTTGACGTTTGAGCCATCTGACCTGTGCTGCACGCTTTTGCCGAGTCTTGTTCCAACGCCCATGCACAGGTATGCACAGGTCAGCCAAGACAGTGCACCACCCGTCTCATACCGTATACCCAAATGAGGAAACACCATGAAAAGCCTGCATCAACATGTGTGCATTATCCACAAAACCGACGTAATTACAAAATATAACATATTGGCGGAACACCGGGGTTAAAGGAACTTAATTTGCACAAGCAAAGTTGGTTTACCGAGGGCTCTCCCCAGCTGGTTGTACTCACCATCTTACTCACAAGGAAACCTTTGCTTTACATCCTGAGAGCGGATGAACCACCCAAGTGAATACTGTAAATGCAGAAGTGCAAGAGAAATGCTGCGACGACAGAAGATGGATCAACTTTGTGCCGTACAAACATAATGACATGTACAGATAGCTACCATCTCTGTGATGGAGTTTGCTACTTGAGGGAGATCTTACTGTGTTTCCTTCGATCACACCAAGTGGACAAAGACCAAACATACTCTTGGGGGGTGACCCTATATCAGTGAATGTCCATGCGGCCATTATATAGGAGCTATGTGGTCTTCCGGACCATCTCACAGAACTTCGGAGGGCTCCCACCGAGCGCAACAAGCTCGCAGAGCTCCTTGGAGCGAGGTTGCTTAAATGAAGAACATCCAATGCGACTCACCATTCTGCAACACATTGCAAGGTTTCCTTAGGTGGCTCCATCTACGAGTTCTTGATATGGCTGTGAGTCAAAACCGGAAACCGGGGACCCTGGTTGACCACGGAAAATGAACAGAATAGATCACCAGGGAGGTCAACCTACCTACCAGGGTTTTGAGGTTTTGGCCCGCTGCCATTTTGGAGATATTTCCCTGAATGCTGCATGCACAAAGGGCTAATTGCCCATGCTAGTCTAGAATCTCCAGGATTCAGGTCCTATCCAATGCCTTCTCTTTGTTGCTGTTTGGAAAGTCTGCATCTTTAGATGTCTTGGTACGTGCTTCGATGCTGGTGCAAACATATTAACACGTAGGTTGCTTTAGTTATTAAACATTATCCAAAGACTTACAAAAAAGGATTAATTGCCCTTGCGAATGCCCAAGTGGACCCCTGTAGACTGGCAGTAAGTCCGATTGCCAATCACATTGCACATGCCAAAAGATAAACTTCATGTTCTCCATCATTGTCTGTTTTCCGCCAGATCCTGCAGCTAAGGCCAGTATCCCGGACAGGCCTTTGCCCCGTGCTCCTTCCTTCAATCGCAAGGGGATCGGCTGATCGGTGGATCCTGGAGGCGAATGTCGGCGGCTGGGATTTCGACACCGGGCGTGCCACAGGGGTCCGACCAGGCTTTTTTGGCCACTATCGCCAGTTGCGAGGGTGACGATCTAACGTCCGCCTCCAAAAGCAAATGGCTGAATTGCAGGAATTGCTATTTTTTTTTGACATGCATATATTCCCCTCCAATCTTTGCAGCTGCAGCGGAGCTTCCAATGTTTCTTCAACCAACGTCAGTCAGAAAGAATGCTTACTGATTCAACCAAGAGTAGCAAGACTTGCTGGCCAACATGTACAGGGCTTGCACCCTGGGCCAAGATGAATCATGGATTTGAGAAGTATTCGTTCTGTGGGTCTGGACACACATTCAGGTGTTTGTTGTTCTAAATTAGACATACCCTGCTTTCTGGGCTTGTGAGGATGGTGAACTGTGCAGACTGTCCGTGACCAGCTTAGTGAGTGGAAGAGTCCGTATGTAATTGCTTGGTTTGCTCTGGACTACTTGACTTGGGTTCTATGCATTTTTGTCCTGGACCCACCCTTTAAAGTTAACCAAAGGCCGTATGGGCTGTATGTGGAACCTAGTGTTATAAGTTATACACATATTCCATTGGAAAGAGCGTGGCTTCAAGATTTCTAACAAGTCAATAAAACATCAACATTGTAGTCAGTGCACAAAGTCAACGTCACAAACAATTCAAATCAGAAAGTTTCAGAAAGTCAAAGAAGTCAAGAAAAAGTCAAAGAACAGTCAACTGGCCCAGTGCCGACTTTTTGCGATTTGTTTTGACCTTATATATATATATGTATTTGATGTCTTTCCAATTCTTATTTTTGTTGATTGTTTATGTCCGACATTTTTAACTTTTTGTTTGACTTGTTTTTGACGTTTCCATTCGATTTTTTGTGACTTTTTTTGAACAGGCTGTCCTGGCCTTACCATATTAATGTTTTATTTTCAAAATCTATATACATCTAGTGGGAAAGGGTTTGATGCTGGTTGATGCGTACATGAGCAAAAGATAGCAGGAGCATCGATTGATACAGCTCCAATCAGATGGAGGAGACTATTACTGTAATCATGATTGTAGCTATGTTGAAATCCAAAGGTGCGTTCTTGGTTGCCCTGCCCTGGATTATGTAAAGCATTGTGAAGCCTCAAGGCAACTGACCAGGATGACCAGCATGACCAGGTGACACAGCACTTGCGAGATGGGACACAGACCGTGTAGCTTCGTGCTTTTCTTTGAGTTTTAAAGTTGTTTCTTCTAAGAGCAGGGAATGAATTGGCAACAACCCTTTGGTCCAGCTGATATTCTGACTTGACGTAAACTTTTCCAGGATGCAACTTTTCTACAATCTTTCGTTGGGGATGACAATAAAGCCACAGAACAAGGTCAGTGTGGTGCAGATGCTGGAGAACAACCTCAGAGACAGGCGAGGGGGAGAGGGAGCTTCGGGAGCTTTGCTCAGGCCAGGTAGCCCTGCAACAAGGGATGGCGATGAGCACCCTCGTCTCTCAATGTACCAACTAGCATCAATTGGCTGGAGATGCTGAAAGCAGCCATTCAAAAGCAGTTCAGTAATTCACAATGTTTAGAAGACTTATTTTGACCCTTCTGTCCAAGCACCAGACACAAATTTCAGGCAACGGCAGCATGTTGCGAATGAATCACGCTTTCCTTGGTATGTTCTTCCCCGCTTTGGTATGTCCTCTCGTCATGACTCAAGGGTCCATCAAAGTGGATTGTGTGGAGAGTATTAATATGGACGATTTGGTGCATAGGTGTATTCTGCAATATTTTTGAATTGCACAGTATAAATGTTACGACTCTCGAAACAACGAATGTGGTTTCTATAGGATGTCCATCTTATCGCCACCTGTGAGATGCCTGTGAGCTTGCGAGTTGCTCTCCTGTTTTCAAAGAGGACAATACATTGGTGCGCAATCAGCTAGTGCGTAGATACACAGCCGGGCTCCTACATTTTCTGACAAGTCTACACGTTCTCAAAGCAATGCAGTTCCTCAGCTAGAGAGTATGTTGTAATCCAAAAATCATTCCTCACTTTCATGCTTTTTGAACCTTGTGTAGCATTCCACACAAACATTATCTTAGAAACTTGGGATCTGTCTATCATTCCACCAGGCATGCACGGCACCTGATGCTCGTTTGCCGGGGAGAAGTGGATGTTGCGTTGACCTTGGTCCGGCGAGCCGCGGAGAAGGAGCACCGACGCCTGGCGCCAGGGGAGAGGTCCTTTGTGTCGTGAGGGGTATTTGAGGCAGCTGGTCCGATTTGGAGGGATCTTGCAACCCTTTCTCAGAGTTTTTGGACAAACATGGACAAACTATGAGAACAGGGGTTAATTCTCGCAACCATTCTATTCTTGCAAACTATGGACAAACTATTCTCGCAACCATTTCGGGGTCTCCAGGACATGGTTTTTAATATGCTTCCTTTCGGCTCAAAGTCCTTGTTTTGCGATGGAATGGTTCACTATAATGATGGCTCTCCAACGAACAGCGCTAAAATTATACCCTAGGCCCTTACTGTATGTTTCAGTTGTTCACAGTTCACTAGTATTATGTAATATCTGGTTTTGCGCCAGGTCTTTTCCTCCCGAACCTGTGAAAGTGCAATGAACAGCTGTCAACAGGGCGAACGAAGTGAGCATCAATCTAACGCCGCTGGCACAGTCAACATTTGTGCGAATGCCGCTCTCAGGGAATCTGCAGATCATGATGGGGTCTACCTTCACGGAAGACCAAAGTGCTGCTGGCCTTAAGTGGAATATTTTTCTTTGGAACTGTTGCAACCCACATTCATCCCGCAGCTGGAGATGTCAAGGTGGAGGTGCATGGTTCCCTACGTGCTAAACATGACATCACGTCGTAAACCTTGCCATCACTAACAAAACAAGCAGAAAAGCAGACACGGATGCATTCAGAACCTACACGGATGCGATATTGACGTTTTGTGAGCAGAACCTTGCTGATTCCAAGAAGAAGAGCTGAGGACCACTACAGCTTTGGTCTCCTCAGGAGGGTCGTGCTCAGCATGGAGCGAGGAGACTTGCTGGTGATGCGAGCACTTGAAGCCATCCACGGCTCCTCGTCCATGGGAAGTTGGGTCGCAGAACATGAAAGCCATCTTGCATGCAGACCCCTGCGGATTTCGAGCAGGTCCGTATCCAGCTACTCAGGTGCAACATGCATCTGCATAGGTGCACATTTGCATACCAGTTGGGATTTCTCTAAGCCTCAGCATTGCCTTCAGCAAGAAACCACTGTGGTCCTCACATGTTGCGTTCCATGCTCCTCCCTTCGGAGCCAGCCGATCGCATCCGATCTTGACATCGGCTGGCTTCCCTCCACAGACTGATGGAGTGAGATGCACACTCTCTAAGGATCCAAGTACCCTCTCTAAGCTTATGAAGACATTTGCTAGGGATCCAAGTAACATCTCAGAAGGTGATTGGAGACACTGCTATGTAGGTGCCATGTTCGGGTCCAGTCGTACCTGACTTGAGGAGGTAACCTCCAGTGAGATGGCTCCCAGGCTCGCTCTATGATATGCTCAATATGAGCTACACCACCTTGGGCAACAAGCGGCACTGCCGGATTGCCCTTGGCCACTTGCCCTGGATGAAAACACGCAAATCGCATCAAGTGATTGTAGATCGAAGCGTTTTTGGTTTGTACCCTATAGTTCAAGCTACTCCAAGAATCCATACGTGCAGAAATAGATGAAATGATTCCATTCCGTTCGCACGTGAGCAAATCCAAGTTGGATGGGAGTCCGACCGCCTGGCCTTTCCCGCCCTTCATCTTCGCACCAGGCGACACCGACATCTTCGCGCAGGTGCACGAGAACTTCCGCTGCGTGGTCCTGCAGGACGCGGATCAGCTGCACCTGGCAGATGCCGCCTTCTTGAACCGCTTCGAAAAACATTACGTGGCTTGGACCAGGAAGACGAGGGGGAGGGTAAGACCAGGGTGAGCAGGAAGGTGGAGCAGGAGTTGACATTCATTTGAGAAGCATCACGTGACGCCAGGCTGTCCGGACACAGCCAGGCGTTCACGAGCTCCGACACCCTTATGGGCGTTCACGAGCTCGTTGATGAATTGGATGGACACACGCCGCAAGTCACCGGGTTTCGTTCCATATAATTAGACGAGAATGGAATGTGAGGACATATCGATCATATATATATATATATATATATTATTTAAAATACAACATATCATATCACATGGAGAACAGAATGCGCAAAGGTCCTTCCAGGTCGATCAGCTTCGTCGATACGAAGTCACAAGCTGTGCCGTTCATGGTCGATACGAGTGACCCTGAAAGGGCCGCCAGACAGGGCTAAGCCGCCAGACAGGGGTGACCTTCAGCTGAGAGCTGATCAGCCCACAAGCATGCATTATCCTCGGGCTAAGCTTCGTGCACATTCTACATTGGACATTGTTTGGATCCTACTCTAACCTAGCGACAGCAAGATCGTTGCAGCCGGCTGAGGTTTCCATTAGCGACATGGTGACGAGTCAGGTACATCGTGAGGCAGTGAAACAACTAGAAGGGCAAGCTGCGAGAGCAACCTCAGGAGATGCAAATTGACATGCAGGGCCCAAATCGGATCCTAGATTTTTCTATTTATACTTGTACTTGGGGAAGAATGTGTGCAGTACACATGTTTCTCTGAGTGGAATATAGACACCGACCGCAAGGATGGGAGCCCCGAAATGTTGGTCAGCCGCTTCCAGGACCGCGGCTGAACGATAAGCCGGAGGTGCAGTCCTTGTTTGCCGGTTGGGGGCCTGAAACCTCTGCATCCTTGATCAACTACGTGGCGGCAAGTAGCAGTGAGACTCTCCTACCAGGGCAGCTGGTGGCAAAGGCATGTGCGGTTGGTGCGAGCAGGTTGCGGGGTGGTTCGGATGGCGTGGGATGGTGGAGGGCGGACAGCTGTCCATTGCGCATTTGACGAATCTATCTCAGAAGAGTTTTCTTCGACTGTGGTTCACAACAGAAAGGGTTTGGACATGTTTAACACGAAGTGCAGAACCATTTGCAGTTGAGTCTCAGAAAACTGTTTGTTGTCAACTCATGAGAGGTGTTACAGTTGTCTACTTTGCGAGTGAGGAGCTACTCACCCGTACTATTGGCGAGGTCCACCAAAAGGCTGACCCGATAATGGAGGAAGGTCTACACCCTCTAGCATCCCCTTGCAATGAGTGTATTCTCAGTATCTGCACATCCTATGTCATATGTCCGAAGGAAAGGTTCACACAATGCAGAGTGTTCAAGGGACGGAGGATCCCAGCTTTTGCGACAATTAAATACATTCTTTGCAACACCACTGGTTTGGTCTGGTTTGTACATATGTGTCTTCCAAGGTCAGTTTTCTGGTTATGTTCGACACTCCCAACGTCCTGTTTCCGTCCGCTTCAGGCATGGCACCAGCTGCTGCCTTGCGCCTCTGTCGACGGCATGTTGCGCGCCACCGAGCTGTCCCATTGGGCGCAGGATCTGTCTGTGGAGCCCAATGATGTCAAGGACCTGCAGGTTGGGCAGGTGCAGCCAGGTGCAGGTTGGCTAGTGAATGAAAATTCCCCAAGAATCCCTTCTGCCTTTCTTCCTGGTGAGGGCCACAGCCATCCTCATTCCATTTCTAGTGGTTGCACCGGCCATGAATCCATGAATGTATTTGTGGATATTGGAGGGAGAGATTGTTTTTGGGCGAAGCCACAGGAGTGGTCTTCCTTCACTCACTGTCACTACTGATTCTATATTATAGTCTATATTATATATTGTTATATTCTTTGAACGTCCAACATCTCTTGACACATGGTCACCATATGTGGGTCAGCCGTTTGCTAAAAACGCCAAGATCGACTCTGCGACGGGTCTTCTCAAGCACATTCTTCTTTGCAAGAATAGGCAAACGACCACCGACAATCCATTGAATGTGTGTGCCTTGTCACCATAAAGCTGAGGTTGTGTCGACCAACTATCTGCTCCCAGGAAGGAGTGTGAACAGCGTGTCACACACGGCTCTTGAACAACAAACTGAGTCTACAACGTACTGAAATTGTTCCTCTCTCCCACCCAACTGGACTGAGAGTTCATGCACCAATGTTCTCCTTCTTCTTGTCAGAGGCACTTATAGTTTGCCTTTTTTTCTGTTCATTTTCTTCCACCGTGTTCCACCTGAATCTGATTGAATGTGTTTGTTTGGGCCATGTCTGGGCAACTTCTGGTCACTCTTCGCCAGGACTGGCGTGAGCAATTCTTTGCTCAGCCACAGTCGCTTCCCGATTGGCTCGTTGCCAACGGCTGGCAGGCTGCACCCGGTGAAGCTGCGATCCGCTACGGGGTGGTCCTTACGACCTCGCCGCTACAGAAGCTGGGACGTGTAAGCGGCTGGATGCGGCTGGGGTGGGGCTGGTACTCCATGGTGTAAGCTTGGGAGGGAGTATCAGGTTCTTTTGCTTCGCCCCAGATGAAGCGAACAAGAGCATAAGACAAGGATGTTTTGACATCTCAGCTGATTCCGGCATGCTGTGGCCCTAGTATTGAAGTTGACCATGGCAAGTAGGTCATCCCCAACCCCAACCATGAGCAATGCTGCTTCCAGGCCATGTTCACTTGCCACACATGAATTTTGTGCAACCCACACCTCGCCAACGTTAAGAGATCTGTTAGACTCTGCACAAGGAGGATGCACACCAAAAATTGATAATCCACCTGTACTAGTATAGAGACTAAACATAGAATTTCTGATGATATAAAGTGCAGTCAAACACTTTCCATATGCTCCACTGTTCAGCTGAGGATTGATCTGAAACAGATCTTGCACGATACTGTCCCAGCCTTCCAGTGCGTGGCCGTGGATGCGTTGACCTCTGAGCTGGACCTCAGCCAAAAGCCGCCCGCACTGAGCACGGCATCGCACGCAAGCGGGCGCGACTCATCGGTGTGGATTGACGCGGTTTGATGCGACTCATCGTTGGAAGTTGACTTCCTATTCAAGTATGTAATATGGAGCTATGTGTGCGTGGAACGTAGTGTTGTGGAAGTATTGGGTTTGGGCCTCACATGGTCTTCATGTGTTCGACATATGTAAGATTATAAAAGATATGCAAACAACCAGACACATCCAGAACCCCTATAAAGTTCAGGTGAGATTAGCATCCCTTTCTTTGTTTTTGTTATGAGAAGACGGTGCGCAGCGAAGACCAAACACCCGTCGTGAGGCTTGAGGACTTCAACGATGCTCAACTGCCTCCAGGCGTGTACAGGTTCTGTGGTGCGGAGTTGGACCTCTTGGATGAACTTATTTGGTCTTTAAACAGAGTTAACGACAGCTTCACTCCTTTGCCCGGGCCCAGGCACCACGTTGGGCGGGTTTTCCAAGATGTAGAGGCACCCAGGAATCCAAAGAGGGCGAAGTGGAATCATCCAACAATCTGAAAACCATGAAGCACTCATGAGTGTCGTCATCTCTGAAGCCGGTGCAGCCGCATTGCACCGTTGCTGGCTTCATGTGGACTTTTTACAGGTCACCTCCAAAAAAGACCCAGCGGCCCAATGCAAGCAAACATCGGTGAAACACCTCCACCAATCTGTCAATCTGTTCAGGACACACACATTGTTTTGCAGCTTGCAGTTCTTCAAACCAAACTCGCTAGGAGTAAACTTTTTTCATAAAGTAATGTTGGACAAGCTTCCTGCATGAGAGTGAAGCCCCCCATAACATCCCCCCTGAAGCACCTGACATCCGCTAACGAACCATGGGGTAACCAAGAATCATGAAGGTATGTCATCAACACTGAGTCCACAGTCCGCGGCCTCTTCCCTTGGCACCGCGACTTCAGCACCGCACCCACCAGGGGCGGTGCTGGTGCTGCAGCTCCGGGCCGACTCGCCGCACGTGGAGCTTCTGAAGCACCGCTGCGCTGAGCTCCGGGAGAATCGAAGGGCTTTGCTGCTCCTGCATGGCTCGAGGCGCTTGATGAGGTGCTTTGGACGGGACAAAGCTTGCAGGAGGGTTATATAGGTGGCTTGGGGTGGAGCAGGACGGTGTTAGCATTTGGGTGGATCAGAGTTCGTAGTATTTATAGATGTATTTAGATTGCAAAGACTGGAATTAGGGCGGAATGAAATCCTTTCATTGCAGTTGCGATCTAATTTCACCCTGAGCTGTTGTGAGATTATTAATTCGATGACTCAGCTCGTTTTGAGTTCAGCAGGAGCACCGGGTGGTTTCTAGCTGCCACCATGCCTGTAAGAGTTGATTGATCTCTCGTTTTACACAGAGCACCCCTCTGAGTCACAGCGCCCCTCCTTGTGGAAAGCTGGTGGGGCTGAATGGTCCTTCTTTCGTCGATGGATCAGAGATTGACTTGTCGCAGATAGGATAATAACTCTAGCATGGGTCCATGATCATCACAAACATGGACCTTTAAACATATATACATGACAACAACATATTTTATTCTTGACATAGAGGTGGTCCGGGCGGGCGGAGCCTCGGTGGTGCACGAGGGCGACTTGCTCGCCTGTGCACGCGCTTTGCTCGGTTGTACACGGGCTGTGTGCACTTCGATGGAGGAAGATAAGGAGCACGAAATGAATGAACAAATGATCATCATGTAGAACAATAAGTTTATACTGTACTTAATCAGAAAGTGAGCATCTGTGTTCACTAACCTGACCTAGCTACATGTCATGGACACACCACATCAACTCAATTTGTGTGCGCGCAGGTGAGCTAAATCTGTTTGCGCAGGTGAGTTTGTGGTACCAGGCACGGTTTGTATTGTTTTAAACCCATGTGTGTACAGGTGAGCTCATCCTGTGACTTTTCATGCAAGGCGGCTTTGAACACCGTTGACCCGGAAAGTGCAATCGGCAAAATGCTCACAGAGCAACAGTGTACAGTATACAGAATGGCAGCAAAGGTAGCAACTGCTACTGCTACTTTTACTTGTCTGTTGCTGCTGTGATCTGGAAGGCAGTGTTGGGGGATTGAACTCTTGAATTTGATAGTTGCCTTCGACGGGCTCATGTTAAGTCAGGCCTGTGAAGAAGGCCAGATTCATTCTGCCGCAGACAAGACAGCTCAATCGCATGCTTCCTCCGCATTTGGCATTTGCTCTCTTAGCGTCGTCGCTATGGGTTCGCCTGGGTCGTGAGAAGCAGGCACATCGAAGTCAGTTACAGTGTACAGATGTTACAGAGATTGTCTAGTCTAGTATTGCTGCATTGCCATCGGCAGGTCGTCCACTATCAAGCCGTAGCCTCAATATGTCAATTAGCTTTTTTAAAAAATGAAATTTCATCATCTTTCGCCTTTGCAAAGCCTTTGCTTGTGAAGCAGCTCAGGCGGATCTATGGTCTCCGTCTCCGTTTCCTTTGCCGCCCGTGGATCCAAGGCTCTGAGACGATCTCTACATGCATCTTCGCATGTCGAGCCTATGCTTTTCTCGCAGGACATCAGAAGCCCCGAAGGCGAAAGCACGGAGAGCTCATAATTTTCATAAATCCTTGAGCCACGGACACCTGAAGCCGATTGAGCCTGTGACCCAGCTGTTGCTGAATTGCTGACTATTGAATATTGAGACTTAAAAAAAGATGCCAGCCATGTTTAAAGCGCAGGAAGACTGCTCGCTTTTTTGGTGGGAAGCTGGGTGGCCAGTGGCAACCCCAGCGTTTGAGCCTCAGATATGCAAATGCACGGTCGCTGCAAAAAAACGAATCTGAAATCCGAAATCTTTTTCTGGGGCCGAAGGCTCTATATATATATATAAACCGAGCAAACATTAGCACAGATGCAAGTGCACTTTTGAAGCTTTACGCTTAGCAAGAAGGAGCTGGAACCGCCAAACCACGCCAAACCTGCCAGGTCACCAAAGAAGCCACCAATCGCGAGGGCAAGAAGCAAGCAAAAAAATAACAGATGAGTCATTGCTTTCAAACTGCAGCTTTTTAAAGCAGCGCCGGGCAAACAAAAGCATATCAGACCGAACCCAGCCAATCCACGCCATTTCCAAGCGGAGCCAATACTAAGCCTAAAATGAAATGCAATCCCGCGCCGGCTTCAGCAGAGACAAGACCTGCCAGATCAGTTCGTTCAGGTTTCCTTTTGGGCAGAGGCGCTGCATTCTCCTCCAAACCCCTCTTGGTTACTCAATCCAGGCCAAGCCCAAACCGTCCATCCACGCATCCATCTCTATCCCATGAAATCTTTCCCCGTGACATGTGAGGAGCTTGCTTCATGACATGCAACAGTAGAATAGAACGCCTTTTGCAACCTAGCTCGCATTTTGGAGTATACAGTAGTTGCTTCCAAAAAGTTCTGCGAGCACGCAGCGTTCTTGCGCCATGTTTCAAACTTCCAAGTGTGGATTCTTCTCTTGCCTCAGAAGCCGATGCATTCTGCAACATCTACCAGGGATTTGCTGGACCTGATTGATGTATCTCAAATCCTGGAGAAATACTTCCTGGCAGATCTCAACTAGTTGAAGACCATTGAAGACCACAAGAGAGGGACAGAGAGAGAGAGAGAGAGAGAGAGACACTGAACGTGACTGATCTTGCGTCGCCCATTTCATTCCTAGAGGCTCAGCCAAGCAGCTCTTACCATGTTTGGAGGAGTATCCAATAGCAACAGTTCAACCACTTGCACGTGAATGCAATCTTGAGAAGCGCCCATGAGTAAATTTGAGTAAACAAAACAGCAAAAACTGTTTGCCAAACCACAAACCATCATCGCCCGCAGTGACTTTCGTGACTGTTGAATTTTGCTTGTCAGCTCGTCTCCATGCACTTGCGCCATGTAATGTGCATCAATGTGCGCGGGGAATTGACAACTTGCTATGCTATTGTCATGTTTGATCTTGTTTGTCTTGTCAAATTTTCATGAACTATCATGTTTTGATGTTTTCTGATGACGGCCGAGTCTTCATGAAAACGTTCCCCTACCCAGTGTCGCGGATGCATCGTGGACTTCCAGTGACTGCACCACAGATGAGCTTGGCTCTCAGAAACTCTTTTCGAGTGTGTAGCCGTGAAGTGTAGAGCAGGTATCCAGCCGTGCCAGGTCCACTGAAAGCGCCCCAGCGGCTTCCATCGCCGATGCTGGTGCAACCTGGGGTGGCTGGGGCCTCATTGAACAGTTGCCTGTGGAGGATCGGCGCGTCAAAAAACAGGAAGCTGAGTTTTATAACATAAGCTGTCCCAAGATGTCCAAGTGGTTGGACGCCACTCACACATGTCTCCTATGGCGCCCGTACCCTCTTCTTCACCAATAGTGCGGCTCCATGCGTCTCTACCCATTCTTCACCTGCTTATGGTGGGCTTCGGTCAGAATGGAAAGGGTTCTTTCGCGAAATGCGCCGCTTTGAGTCATAGGAGCTTTGTCGGTTTGCGGTGAATTCATGTCTATCTTAGCTGCCCATAGATTTCAGTCCCGTGCCACTGAGGTGAGAATCAAAAAGAGTGACGAATGGTCTAATGTGGCCTCTTACCTTAGATCAGGTTGAAGTGGAGAAAAGTGGCTGCATCCGGTGAGATAAGATATTTTGGTATCCTTTGCAGGCAACGGTCTGGTATGCTTATCTGAACGTTTGCTTATTTATGCTGGCTACTATGCCAGACGGCTAGAAGCACCAGTGACCACTACCACATGCCTTGACCCAAAACCAGCAGTTTCTTCTTGTTTCTATGGCTGCGCACTGAATCTGAGATGTGCTTTCATAATAGAAATTCAAACGGCAAGCTCAAAATGCGATGCCTTCCCTAATCCACAGGCGTTGCTGGAAAGAAGATCCCTCAAATCGCGTGGAGCCGTCAGTGCTAGCATCACTCAAGAAGAACCTAGTTCTAACAATGAAATTCAGTGAGAGAACTGATGCAGTTTTTGAGCTGTTTTGAATACAGTATGTATCAGTATACAACATGTTCGGTGCTTCTTGCAAGAGTTGAGAGAAGTTCTGGCAAAGTCGACCATGCAAACGCCGGAATCCGTAGAAAATGGGCTCTCAAAAAGAGAGTTGCCATGTCTGGAGTCGCAGCAAGCTGATCTGCTCGTGTCGAAGATCCTGCTGTAAAATCGTGTATTTCAGCAGAGCTCAGTCAAAGTGTGGGAGATCGGAGTCATGAGTAACAGCTGAAAACAGAAAGGAGGAAAGGAAATGATATAAGAAAGCCGTCTCAAAATGTAATCAGCTTCTTTCACCAGGACTTGGGCAATCCCAACCTGGATGTGAATGGAGATGACGACACGCAGGCAGAGAACTATAGACATCATAGAACCATAGGGCCACAGCTGGTACTACACCTGATCTCATCTTTTCATCACTGGTCTTGTTGATCTTGTTGATTCGGGTGATCCTGGACTTTACCGAAGACGAGGCATCGGTACCACCTATTATCGCCTGGCAGATTGAAGTTGACGGAACCAGGACGTGATACATTGCAGGGCTTGAGGGCTTGAAACTTACGGCCGTCGCGCAAGACATTGTTAACAAGGTGTGTTAAGATTCGCAAGTCTGAGTTCCATTGGCATTCGGTTTTGAGCTTTTTGTGGAAGGTTCAGAAAATGCGGAAGGACTTGTTCTTTCCTTCCCACGTCGTGTCACTGCATCCTTTTTTGTGGAAGTTGATACATACATGCGTACATGCGCGCGCGTAAAGGCTTCTAGGACAAGGTTCTGAGATGGTGGTTTCCATCAGGGTGCGACTCTGCCACGAAAACACTATCCAAATTTCCGATTGGTATTTTGATTGGTCACACTGAGATCCATGGCCCTTTCTTCAACCCCATAGCTGTGAAGGCCCCAGATGTGAATGGATGTGATGATTTGAATTGCATCCAATTTCCATGAAGCAATGAACCACATGATTTTGCGTTTACCAGCTTTTATCCAACGCACGACTCGTACGAAACCAAGAAGTGGGTCAATGACAAAAGCATGTCTCCAAAGCATGTCTCGCGGAGGTAGCTTTGCAGACCT